GTCTTGCTAAGTTCCCCAGGCTGGCCTCAAACTTGCAGTCCTCCTGCCTCAGCCTCCTGAGTTATCGGTTTCTCTTGATGAGCGGTTTATCAACTGCCCTCTTATGATTAGTGTTTTGTGTTCTATAAGAGCAGTCATAGAGAAGAGGGTGCTGGTGAGGGCCGACAGGAAGGCCAGGGCTCGGCCAGCAGGTGGGTGCTGCGTGCGGGTCCAGGGCATGGTCCAGGAGAATCCTTCAGGGAGGTCTCCCCGGCACGGTTACAACAAGTGGGCAGTTCTGTGGGGTCACACTGGGCCTGAGAAACAGCCACAGGCCCCGTGGGGTATGGGAGGTCAGCAGGGTGAGTCAGCTGGGTGGACTCGAACTGTCCCACTGGGAGGGGGCCACCAGGAGCCATGTGCAAGGCAGGATCAGAACTGCCCACTCTGAGAAACTGGGGGGTGGGTGGGGAGGCAGGCCCGTGAGCCCTGCTTCTGGTCCAAGAAAGGTTGACTTGTGTTCAGAGTGGAGGAGCCTGGATGTAGAGAGTTCACTGCGTGATGGAGTCCATGATAAACCTGAGAAACTCTAGTCATATACCTCCAATCCGTGAATGTCGTGTTCTCTCCATTTATTTAGGCCTTCTTTAATCTCCCTTAGAAATGTTTGGTAGTTCTCAGTGTAGATCTTGCACATATTTTAAAGATTTATCCATGGCTGGGGTGTGGCTCAGTGATAGAGCCCTTATTAGCACGTGTGGGGCCCGGGTTTGATCCCTCGCACCACATGCGCACACACACACACACACACACACACACACACACACACACACACACAGAATGTTCCTAGATGGTTTATATTTTCATGCTATTGAAACTCTTCTAATTTCTTTTTTCTAGTTGTTTGTATATTGATCATTTTATCTTGTGATGTTGCTAAAATCACGTATTACTCCTCATGGTTTGTAGATGCTTCCAGATTTTCTATGGACACAATTATGTTGTCTTAAAACAAAACAAAAAAAATTATTATTATTTTTTACTTTCTTCCTTTCCAATTTTTATACCTGTTTCTTTTTCTTGTCTTTGCACTTGCTAGGTCTTCCAGTGCTATATGGAACAGGAGCGGTGAGAGGGAAAACAGCAAGAAACTGTAAACAGTTCCATTCACTCAAGAGTGGGTCACCCCCCAACACACACACACACACACACACACACACACACACACACACACACTACGGCTAGTTACCTTGAGTCTCCAATGTTCCACCAACCTTCGTTTCTGAATAAACTCCACTTGGACATGAGCTATCATATTTTTACTGTATTTGGGGGTTTGATTTACTAATGTTCTGTTGAGGATTTTTCATCGATTCTCATGAGAGATACAAACCTTTACATTTCTTTTATCATAATGCCCTCGTCAAGTTGTAATATCAGGGTTTTGCTGCCTCATTCAACAGGTTGGGAGGCGTTCTCTTTTCCTCTGTTCTCTATAAGAGTTTGTGTAAGATTGTTGTTATTTCTTAAATATTTGAAAAATTACCAGTGAAGACATCTAAGTCTGGAGTTTTCTTTGAGAGAAGGTTGTAAATTACAGATGGAATTGTTTTTAAC